CCAAACCAAAAATTATTTAAAGCTGGTGAGAAATGTTGCTAGATAAATAAAATTTTAATCTTTGCATGTATACCCTATCCCTTGCAGATCTGGCGTGTAGAAAGCAGCGGTAGGGTCCCAGTTGACCCAGATTCTTATGGTGAGTTCTATGGTGGCGACTGCTACATCATCCTCTACACTTACCCCAGAGGACAGCTCATCTACACGTGGTAAGCTCAGGTTCCACAGGAACCAGATTTTGTTCCCAAATTCCAAATGAATGAGGCTTGTGTGGCATTCACATAGTATTTTTGACATTATTTTATAGCTGCTATCCACAACAGAAGGAGTTAGAAATTTTTCCTGTGTAGTCTAGGAAAGAAGTTTCGATGTCTTCAGCAACAGCTCTCTTGGTGAACATGTAGTTGAGTATCTTACCTTGTATGGCAGCTAATGATCCAGTAGCCAGGGTTGGGTGCAATGTCATCGTATGGCTGCCACTGGGGTCCCTCTGGACTGGACCTGCAAAGTAGTGCTAAAACAAACAAACAACAAACAAACAAACAAACAAAAAACCTGCAACAATGTAAGTTGTGACTCCATTGCCTACTCCAGAAATCTCAAATGGATCAGTCTTCATTCTTTGTCATCTTAAAATTCCCTCTAATGGAGGGAATATACTAGAATACTTGGATTTCCCTCTTACATAGGCTTGGGTGATGGTTGGAGTTAACTGAGGTTTGGGTTTGCTTAGAATCAGTCTCACAGCCGTGCTCACAGAGGAAGGACCAGTGCTCAGACGTGTAATGTAAGGGTATCTATCGTACTATGGGAATGTCACAGGAAATTGGACTAGAAGCAGGCTAGCAACAGAACAACAGGTTGTAAGGAATGGAAAAAGCAACAGAGTGGAGGCTGAGCCCAGTTTCCAATCCGGGTGTTGTGTGAGCAGGGATTCCTTTACGGAGGACAAGTTTAGTCCACACCTGAAACAATTCCCAGTGGAAAGATCACATTGTCAATAGTTCCTATGTCTGGAGTGCAACTGGAGACTCACTTAGTTTTCTTCTGTTTTTGAATGTTTAAGCTTTCTATGATGATAATGTATAACTTCTTGAGTTATTAAGATACTTAAGAATTCTTTTGTGTCTTTGGCATTTAACATAGTAGATGCTAGATAAATAAATTTGCTAATGTTACATGGTTTGTGGAACTACAAAAGTTTCTGTAAACATAGTAAAGGAGCATTTATAAGCCAATCTATTGAAGACTGGATTTCCAATGAAATATTTTCCCAGCTGACTTGGTAATTTCCATAAAGGAATGTAAACAAAATAAGTCCATGAATGAACAAGTTAGAGATGAAATACTAGAATTAAATTAACTTCTAAATACACACATTTTTTTGTGCTTCTAAAATCACTCATATTGTAAGAGAAACAATTTCAGCAGTGACCTTTCTCAAACATCTGTATTTGAGAGCATTGAACAATGATGATCTACTTGAAGTAGGAAATTCCATTTTGGGACAGCATTTATCCTTTTTTAAATTTTATTTATTTATTTATTTATTGGAAAGGCAGATATATAGAGAGGAAGAGGAAAGATAGAGAGGAAGATCTTCCGTCACATGGTTTACCCCCCAAGTGGCCACCACAGTCTGAGGTAACCCAATCCAAAGCCAAAAGCCTGGAGCCTCTTTCAGGTCCCCCACATTGGTACAGGGTCCCAAGGCTTTGGGCCATCCTAGACTGCTTTCCCAGGCCACAAGCAGGGAACTAGAGGGGAAACGAGGCTGCCGGGATTAGACCCAGTGTCCATATAGTATCCCAGTGCATGCACGGTGAGGACCTCAACCACTAGGCTACTGTCCTGGGCCCAGCAGCATTTATTCTTAATGAGCATCAAGTACCACAGGTTTAGAAATCTTGTCAACCATAGATAGTTTTAATAATTTTCTTTGTCCTAAGCATTGGGTTTCAAAATGAGAAGCAAAGAACCCAGTGGCTTCTAAAGCAAATCACGTGAATGGAAAACGAGGTTCTCTGACAGGAACCAGAAGGATTGGAGACAAGGAAGCAGGGTACTTACTAGGAGCAAAGTTTTTGTGACATTTTCAGGGTTGTTGGTGGAACTACTAAGAAAAAGAAAAAGGGAGCAAACTAAGACAAAGATTGGGTGATATAACCTGTTAGTTGGTTGTATTGTTTTTCTCTATAGTAAACCCAAAATGTAAATTAGCCAGTTTTTTCAACAGCTGGAAGCATAGAAGCGAGAGGGGAGTCACAGGTGATGAGGTGCCCCTAGTTTCCTGGCAACATGGACAGCTGGAGGCAGTGGTAATGGCTCAAGTAACTGGGTTAATACCACCAAGCAAAAGACCTGGATTGAATTCTGATAGGCCAGTTCAACTGCGGCCCCGCCCTGCCCCAACTTTGCCCTTGAAAACATTTGGGGAGTAAATTAGCAGATAGAAGGTTGTTTTCTCTTTCTTTCTCCATCTGTCCACCTCACAAATAAATGATTTAAAAAGTAACAAAAGCCTACATGAGGAGGTCTTCCAAGTTAAATATAAGCGAATTTATTTCACTCCTGTTCCCCCAGGCAAGGAGCAAATGCCACAAGAGACGAGCTGACAACATCTGCATTCCTGACGGTTCAGCTGGATCGTTCCCTCGGAGGACAGGCTGTGCAGGTTGGAATGTTTTTATCCCCACATCCACATGTAAAATCTTTACTATTGCAATACTTAGAGAAAGCTTCCCTTTAAGGCTGAGGTGGGAATTGGACATTTACTTGACATTCTATTTTCACGTTGGAATTTTAAATATTCTTACTCTTATGCCATACTGGTGTTCTCAGATTCTGGAAAAGGATTGAACCAAAGCAAAGCAAAACACCAAAAGTCTGTTAACAGAGATGGAGCTCCGGCCTGGGGTTTTGGCTTTCAGATCTCACATGGGACTGGCAGTGTTGGACTCCTGGCCCCTGCTCCTGCCTACAGCGTCCCGATGATGCTAACTAATCCAGGGAGGCAGGAGTGGTGGCTCAGGTGGCTGTGTTCTTGCCACTGTTGTGGGGGACCTGGATGCAGTTCTCAGCTCCCAGCTTCACACTTGACTCCAGCTTGGCCACTGTGAGTGTTCAAAGAATGAGCCAATAGACGGGAGCCTATCTCTGCTTCTGAAACCAATCTGAAGGATGACTATCAACATACTCAGGAGCCCCTCTTGCACCAGATCTTCCAGTTACAATCACACCATGCAATGGTGACAGTCAACATTGATCTTGATCTGTGTTAGCAGCTACAGATGTTGTTAAATGTGCATAGTAGCTCCAAGATGTTCTTGATAGATCCTCAGAAGCTGCAGATGGCTTCTGCTACAAAGCAAAGAGGGTTGAGATTGCAGAAGGAATCAAGGTGGCTCATCAGCATATCTTTGAAAAGATTCTCTCGGCTCCCTTGGCAGCAGCCCAGTGTAATCATAGGCTCCTTACAGATGAAACAAGAAGGCAGGCAGAGTTAGGGGTGTGGCATGAGAAAGGCTCCACCCGCAGTTACCAACTCTGAAGATGTGCAGGAGCCTCCGCAGGGAACAGCCAGCCTCCGCAGGGAACAGCCAGCCTCCGCAGGGAACAGCCAGCCTCTGGAGGCCGCACAAGGCAAGGGGGTGTCACCCCTGGAATCTCCCGAAAGGTGTCCCTTGATCTCCATCTAGTGTCCGAAGTTATTGCTTCCAATTTTTTTTTAAAAGATTTGTTTTATTTTCATTACAAAGACAGATATAGAGACAGGAAGATCTTCCCTCTGATGATTCACTCCCCAAGTGGCCGCAATGGCCGGTGCTGTGCCGATCCGGAGCCAGGAGCCAGGAACTTCCTCCAGGTCTCTCACACAGCTGCAAGGTCTCAAGGCTCTGGACCATTCTCAACTGCTTTCCCAGGCCACAAACAGAGAGCTGGATGGGAAGTGGAGCTGCCGGGATTAGCATCCATATGGGATCCTGGCGTGTTCAAGGACTTTAACCACTATGCTATTGTGCCGGGCCCTACTGCTCCCGATTTATCACAGGGATTAAATTAGCTGGGGACCATATTTAGGACTTCCCTCCTGGAGAAAAAGATAAATCTATTTTTACATTTTAAGTTTCTAAAATCATGGAAATTTGTCCTAACAATGGAAAATTTTTTTAAAAGGCAACAGAAGACGCCCACACAGATACAGTAAAAGAATGGAACAGTGATGGGCACCTGTCAAATCAGGACGGCCGAGGCTGCGCTCTGCACAGCAAACAGCACTACACCTGGACCAGACAGCACAGGCCCTAGCTTTCCTATCTTAGATACCACAATCTTGCCTGAAAGCCCAACGGCAAGAAGTGAGCGGGAGGTGAAAGGGGATGATCGCTTCGGGGCCTTTGATCCAAGAACAAGTGTAGTAACTATTCAGAATGACTAAACCTCGTTCCAAATAACAATTCCATAGACATACAAATACATCACTTTAGTGAGCAAGTGGACAGGGGTGGTGGTGAGGGTTGATTTGTTCGTTGTAGGAGTCGAACTGTCTGGCTCTCGTCCTGTGTCCGCCGGGCAGGTGTTGGCCGGCCGCAGCTTTCTTTGCTGTCCGCTCAGGTTCCGTCGCTGCACTCTGCTTCATGGAGAATCCGCTCCTCGGTACAGTCCTTACTAGTAACCACGGGCATTCATGGTCATGGCTAAATGGCTTTCTGTGCAACTGCAGTGCAGACAGCAGAGGGACTCCATCTCCCTCGCGTGTGCTCCAATGTGTCCGCATTCTCCTTCATCCCAGCAAGGGCGTCTGCTTGTCCCTTGTCCCCAAAGCTAACATAAGGTCTTCCTTGTGCGTGTGCTCATTTTCTCATTGTAACTGGAGCTGGTCACATGTGTGGGTTTTTGGGCCACTTTTCAATAAGGCTTCTGTCTCTATTTTCTGGAAAGTGAATTCCAGATTCTAGTCCACACTGAAGGCATGAGGCGGGTGTTTGGCCTAGTCATGGGATTCCTGCGGGGAGGCCCATGGCCATGTCAGACTGCCTGGGGGCTTGGCTCCTGGCTCCAGCTGCCGATGACACAGAAAATTCAGGGTAACAGGTAATGAATCCCAAGTCCTTGGGTCCCTGATACGCATGTGGGAGACGTGCTTTGGCATCTGGTTTCAGGCCTGGTATTTTGGGAAGTCCAAAGAGCTGTCTCTTTCTCTGTCTCTTGTTTGCTCGCTTTTGCTCTCTCTCGGTGTGTGTGTGTGTGTCCTAAAAGCTCTGAAGGCTCGTGCTTATTTGTGATAAAAGCCTATTAACTTACCTTTGACTGCCTGTGTCTAACTCTGTCCCGGCTCATATCAAGTAAGTTAAGGTCCTACTGGCGTGTGGTATGCACATTTTTGGCTTGGTGTTCTCTGTTTTTTGTTGTTGTTCTTTTCCAACTGTTTATATGGGGAGTTTCACTAGTTAATACAGAGATAAGTTGCATACTAGAAGGAGGAGTCTCGCCTTGGTTTCCAATTTTCTTTCCATTTTGGTTCTTGGTGTAGATTTATCATGCAAACTGGATCTGAGTTTAAAGAGGAGCACTAAAGTTTCTGTACTTTAACCCATCAGTCATTAATTATCAAATTAACGGGATGAAGGTGTTCTTAAATTCACTCCCTTCTATTTCCTCAAGAAGCATTGTATCCATTTCCTGAGTGAAGTATTTCTAGCAAGCTCTATTCATCTATGCCATCTAATTGATGAGGTGTTCCATATCAGAGTCTTCAGAACTCGCCGATATGCATTCACCTTGCATATTCCATCTTTCCTATTGGATACTTAATATACCCATGACTATTTGGCAATGAAATGATAATATTTAGTCTAACCACAAGGTGGCAGTAATGTACAATAATGCGTGAAAAATCTAAAGCCATGTAATAGGTGCCTTATGCATTGTTTTACTAAGTCCATTAACAATATTGGAATTTTTTTTAATCTATCCCTTTGTCCTCTCATCTGGCTTTCACAGTAGGGGATGGATTATAACCAGTGGTCCTTCTTCTTTTTTTATTATTCAAGTTTATTTATTATTTACCAAGATACAGTTTTATAGGTAAAAGTAGAGGTTATTCCCTTCTCCTCCACTTGCCCTTTGTCATTTTTTCCTGCCGGTTGAAGTTTGTCCCGGGCATATGAAATGCTGAGGTAACTGTTTTTTGGTACACTCTCCTATGTCCAACCAATCTCTGATTCTGTGATTGAATAAATATTTTTGTAACATATCTGGATGCTTACTGATTGAGACATTCATGAAGGCCCTTGTTTCCAAGCCTGTCTGTAGGTCTCACTCTCTTAGTACAGTCAGCATTCCAACTCTAGAAATCCCTACATCTTCAAGTGCAGGGTAACTGGGACAGCCAAATTTAACACAGGGAAGGAAAAAATCGGGAGGTGGGAAGGCAGTCGGGGAACTACCACAGTGTTTGAACTTTATATCAAGAGGCATCAGCACTTAAACAAAATAGAAAATTCTAATTTAGTATTTAATGTTGGTAAATGAAATCAAGAAAGCATTCACCATTTGCCATCTTCGGTTTTTTTATCCAGAAAAGTTCCTATATTATATGATAAGTTGCTTGTATTGAGCTCATTTGCTATTATCATATCTATACAGAGATAAAAATAGGAAGTATATATATTCAGTTTGTCTGCCAGCTTATAATTTTGGATGGAAATCTATTTTCATTTCCCAAATGTGGGAATCTAGAAATAATGAGGTGATTTTGTATTTACTTTTTGAAGCATTCAGACACATATGCCTTAACCTTATGTGCTAGCTTCAAAGCACGCAGGAATCCAGCGCATCTGTGAACAGCTGTGAAGTGCTGATGCTCTTGAGAGGAGAGTCATGTTCACATCAGGTTACAGAGACCCAATGCTTACTCTGGGAGTGGGAACTCAATCCAGACCTCTGTCTGGGTGGCAGGAGTCCCACCTCATGATCCACCATCCTGCATGAACAGGAACCTGGAGTCAGGAGTCACAAGCACAAAGCAAACCCAGGCCATCCAGGGTGGGACACGGGCAGCTTAACCACCAGGCCACGGCCCTGCCCCACGGCTTTGTTTTCAGAAAATAAAATAGGAACACATTTAGATTTTATTGCATTCTGGATGATATTTGTTTTTTCTACTTTCCTCTACTCCCAGATTCGAGTCTCCCAAGGCAAAGAGCCTGCTCACCTGCTGAGTTTATTCAAAGACAAACCACTCATTATTTACAAGAATGGAACATCGAGAAAAGGAGGTCAGGCACCCGCTCCCCCTGTGCGCCTCTTTCAAGTCCGGAGAAACCTGGCATCCATCACTAGGATTGTGGAGGTAACGTTAGGCATTCAGTCAACCATGTCCTGGCTGTGGACTTCCCAGCATACTTGAGCCATGGAAAGATCCTAGTCCTCCCCTCTGTAGTTATCCACCATTCATAATAAAAAGAAACACTAAAAACAAGAGAGTTGAATAAAAGGTTAAACTCCAGATACTGACATCTCATTTTCTTAGTGGAATCAAACCCCAGACCAATGAGTTTTAAGAAAGCTGTATGTAACACATCAAGCTGTCCAGGACATGAAGCAACTTAACGCTGACTCTAGAAAGGCCAGTGGTGACAGTCAGATGCCTGACCACACTGGGATGATGTGAGGGGATAAGTGTAACAGATATGGGAGCCAACTTGGCCACAGTGGGCCAGAACCATAGGTGTATTGATCAGATATACTGTCTCTAACCACACCTCCTATTGTGGGGTCGTGGGCAGGAACTGCAGGTGCAGACAAAACCAGCAGGCCCAGGTTTCGAGAAGGCTGTGTGCTTTGACCCATATGGCACTTCAGCCACACCTCAGCTGCTGAGCACCTGTTTTCAAATCCAAGTCTGCAGATCTCTCCCATATTGTCCTGCATACTCTCTATCCCCAGACGTGGGCCCATCTTCCACCCCCATCTCTGCACACAAGCCATTCACCTGAGCCTTTCACACCGGGAGGTTCCACATATCTCTTCACCCTTGACACCCTGTCCCTGCTCTCAGCTCCCCTCTGCTTTCATCTTCTTGCTCTGTGGCTGCTTCTCCACTGGGCGAACACAGTCATCACTGTCGTGTTTTTAATCCCATCTAATACATCTGACGTCATTTGAACTGTCACTCAGCTGTACCTGAGTCTGAGTCTACAATACAATCTCTGCCCACAGTAGACTCCGGTTCCTGTTTGAGTGAGAAAGACAAAAGCTTCCATTTGCTAGCACATTCTTTGACCAGCGCTGGGCCAGGCCAAAGCCAGGAGCCTGGAAGTCCCAGCTGGGTGACAGTAACCCATGTACTTGGGCCATTGTCCACCACTTTCCCAGATACGTTAACAGGGAGCTGGGTGGGAAGTGGAGCAGCTGGGACTCAAACCACTGCTAACGGGGAATGTCAGCATCACAGACTACAACGTCAGCCAAGCTTGACTAATTTTGCTGTTAGATCCTTGTGCTACCATCGGAGGTCAGTTGAGCATTAAAATGACACAGATCAAAGGACACCTGCTGTAGTGTTTCACACACCACACTGGTGTCCCCTGGCTGTAGGGCAGGAGGCTGTGGGTAGTTTGTCACAGTCATGGCTTTTAGGAGATACATTTACTGGGAGAAGAGCAGTGAATGTGAAACATCGTGTTCTGCTTTTACACACTCTAGGTTGATGTTGATGCAAATTCCTTGAACTCCAACGACGTTTTTGTCCTGAAGCTGAAACAGAACAATGGCTACATGTGGATTGGAAAAGGTTCCAGCCAGGACGAGGAGAAGGGCGCGGAGCATGTGGCCAGCGTCCTCAAGTGCAGCACCACCAGGATTCAGGAAGGCAGTGAGCCAGGTGTGTGCTGTCTTTCTGCTGGTCTTAGGCGTTAAGAATCCCTCTGTTGGTTGCAAACGGGGAGGATGCCATGTGCTATAAGTAACTACTTAATATTGAAGTCAACTTGAGATATTTGTTCATGTAGGATGATCGTATCCCATGCCTCTGGATATGTGTTGGATTCAATTAGTATGTTTTCCACAGAGGAGTTTTGGGATGCTCTTGGAGGGCAAAAGGATTACCAGACCTCACCCCTGCTGGAGACACAGGCTGAAGACCACCCACCTCGGCTTTATGGCTGTTCTAACAAAACTGGAAGATTCATTGTAAGTGTCCCAAGAACAGGGGGATAGAAACTAACACCAGTGGGCGAAGCAGCATCCCCATCAGCTCGGACCCCTTCCATACAGTGTGCACCTGTGACTCTCTGGTTACCTGTGTACCACAGATGCTATTCTTTGTGCAGTGGATGTGAACACACTATGAATACTTGTAATTTAGTATATAAATGGAGCTGCTCTTAAAATACCAGCTACTGCACACCCATCACAGTATTCATAATTGTTCATATGAATATGAACATATGGGGGGTGGTCTAGTTTTATAATCTGACACTTTGTGTGGGCAGCAGTCATTTCTGATATAGTTCTGTTTCCCAAGGTAACAAAAACATTTACCTTGTTGGTTGAATAAAAAGATGTTATGGGGATAGTATAGTCAATGGGAAACATCACAGAGGATTATGTATGTACCTACAAATGCAATCAACAGTAACATTTTACAGACATTTAGGCTTTGATACCAGGCAATTTAAACTAAAATTAAACTCATCTGTATCAGTGTCTTAGCTCAGGCTGCTGTGACAAAAATAGCACAGACGTGGTAGTTTAAGCAACAAATATTTCTCACAGTTCTAGTAGCTGATAAGTCCAAGACCAAACGCCTTAGATCTGTTGTGGGGGGTCTTGCTTCTGGCTTTCAGTTTGTATCCTACATGGCCAGGAGAGGGCACTCTAGGCAGATTTACAGAGAGAAGGAAAGACAGAAAAGTATGTTTCATCTGCTGATTCAATGGCCAGTGGCCAGAGCTGAGCTGACGTGAAGCCAAGAGCCTGTAGCTTCCTCCAGATCTTCCATGTAGGTGATGGGGTTTGAGGACTGGAGACATCTGCTACTTTTCCAGGCCATAAGCAGAGAGCTGGATGGGAAGCAAGGCAGTTAGGACTGCAACCAGCAAACATATGAGATGTCGGCACCTGGAGGCAGCAGATGAGCCAGTTGAGCCACACTGCCGTTCCCTCTCCTTGTCCTTCTAAGGACACTGGTCCCGCTGTGGGGACAACTCGTGTAAACCTAAGCAGCTCCCAAACTCAAAACATGATGATGAGAATGATGGTATATGTCACTCCCAAAGGCATTTAAATGAGATTTTTATTTTAGTAGTTTTCTTTTTGAAGTTTCTATGTGTTGATCTGAAAGTCAGAGTGACAGAAAGAGAGAGGAAAGGAGTAGAGAGAAGAGGGGAAAGAAAGAGAGAGAAAAATCTTCCATTCCTTGGTTCACTCTGCAAACGTCTGCAACAGCTGGGGTAAGCCAAGCCAAACCAGGAGCCAGGAAGGCCATCTGTCTCCCACACGGGTGGTAGGGCCCCACGCACTGTCACCTGCCGCCTCCCACATACAGCCAGAAGAAGCTGAAGTGGAAGCAGAGGCAGGACTCAAGCCAAGGCCTCTGATCAGAGATACAGAAATCCTAAGAGGTGGCCTGCCCCAAGGTGGGCTTCTACCTTAGCGTCTGATTAGAAAGAGCTTGAGTTTTCCCATGTGCCATGACCAGATGCTAGAGACAAACCAGTTACTGTACAGGTAAGATGACTATAATCTGTGTCACGGGGCAGGCACCTGGAAATGACGGCCAGTTTTTTCATGGCGTTCCAAAATAATACACAGGCAGAGGTGTGTAGTATTCCAAGAGTCGCTGCTTTCCTGTCTGGTATGCAGTTTTTCATGTATTGCAGATTGAGGAGGTTCCGGGAGAGTTCACCCAGAATGATTTAGCGGAAGATGATGTCATGCTACTTGATGCTTGGGAGCAGGTAGGAACTGGGGCTACATGAATAAAACAATGTGGCTTGGGCAAAACTAAAACTGATGCACAAACCAATGTAATGTTTTTAATGTGGAAATAGACACGCAGTTACTATCATTGCCTTTATAATTTTAAGGGGAAAAACCTCTTGTAAAATTCACCCACTCCTGATGGGGTCACCCAGCCTACGTAATCTACTACCTCCATACTTAGAGGACTACTAGAGAACTCAGAATGCCTCCTGAGGTTTGACAGCAAGTCACGGGGAAACCCCCACCTGGGGAAGAAACTAGCACAGATTTGAATCTACATGGTAGAAGAGATCATTATTGCATGTATCCCAACTTTAGAAAAAAATGACAATTTGATATGCCACATCCGCCATGACCCATGCTGGAATAGTCTTGCATTCTGCCCTGGTGAATGGATCATTTATTTGTAGATGAGAAATTTTAAACCTCATGTAGGTAAAACCCTTCTATGCATTTGGGAATTATATTTCCTTATTCAGAAGTATTTATCCTTATTTGTAATGAGCTCTTGTTTCTGGGATGACAGATTCTGTGTATTTGCTACATTTCATATCTTAGAATCATGCTTTTACCTTAAAGTAATGTGCCCTGCACCCACATGTTCCAGCAGTTTTATCATGGTTTAGAATACAGTTTCAACTTAATTGGTCAATTTTTTTTTCTGCCAACAAATGATTTAAACGTAAGGCAACTCAGGAGAATTTTTTAGTGTGGAAATTACCCAGCCTGTGCAGCTTTACATTTTTTAGTTCTACATTTTCAAAGCTCAATACTTAAATATTAAGCATTATAACACTTTTGTCAAAGTGCCCAGGGCACAATGCCATAAGAGGAAGTGAGAGTCTTGGATTGCCTACAGACCAGCTCTGTGTCTGGGTGTGGTCTTCCCCCAGCCTAGATCCCCATCTGGGAAATGGGTCTTCCCCATCCCAGGGAGCAAATGCAGAAAAACACCAGTCTGTTGTTTTTGTGAAAGATGACTTTCTCAACTAAGACATGAGAATCAACATGAATGAAGCATGCGTGTCCATTTGGGTGTGTTGTGATGAGGGTGAGCACTGGAGAAGTGAGTGGACTTCTCTGGGTCCCCCTAGAGCTCCCCGACTTCTGGGGTCGTGGCGAAGAGTGAACAAGCTGGGAGTGTGAAGTACTTTACCCAGTGCCCAGCAGCGAGTCAATACTCCTCAAGAGGTACAGTGTTGCTGTTGTTTCATTTTTCAGATATTCATTTGGATCGGCAAAGATGCCAATGAAGTGGAGAAAACTGAATCTCTCAAGTCTGGTAAGCTAGATCCCACTGACAATGACAGCTGTGCCCCGGCACATCGGTTACTAAACGCCTGAATGCCTCGTTACAGCATGTCTCCCAGAGTTCCATGCCAGAGCTGAGGAGTAGCTTAGCTTCCATCCTCAGAACTTTAAAGAATAATAGTTTAAAAAAAAAATGAAGAACCTCAGAATGTGGACAGAAACATAATGCTTACCTAATTTAGAATACAATTTTATCCATTTATTCTGAAAAGCTTCAGTTCACTTAAAACCTTGTTTTATGATGAGAATAGTAAAACTATCATAAATTTGATAACAGATATTTTTGCCTCATTTTTGTGTAATGTTGTTGTCATAATTTTCTGTTTCTGTTGAAAAGTATAACAATAATTAGTTCATAAAGTTAGTTCTATAAAACTTGGAATTCTTTCAGGAAATAATGAAGTTTTCTTGGTGCTTTGCCAACAGATAAGAGATATAAATGACACACAGTTAATTTTTGGCTACTTAAAGATAATAAAAATTTAATTTATTTTATGGAATAATTTTAATTCTGTATTTTAGTTTAACCCAAACAAATTGATTCTATATCTTTGCTTCTCTTTCTAGCCAAAATGTACCTTGAGACAGACCCTTCTGGAAGAGATAAGAGGACACCCATCGTCATCGTGAAGCAGGGCTATGAGCCACCCACATTCACAGGCTGGTTTCTGGGCTGGGACTCCAGCAGGTGGTAAACCCAGCCTGAGGAGGCAGCTCTGCCCAAGCTGGGAGAGGTGAAGGGTCTTTTTGTTTATTTAGCTTTAGATAATTGACCTCAGCTAAATGGCTATTTTTAAAATGTCTAGTATTGGTTTGCAATTCATTTTAGACTGGAATTTTCTTATGCTATTAAGTTAAAATAAGCCAAAGCAAGCTTCTCTTATGGACCAATATCACCTTTTCCAGAAACTGATGTATGTCTTTTTTATATAGCACTTTTTAAATCTAAGAGGTTGTGAACCACCTAGGGGAATCTTCCACGTAGGATATTTTATAACTCAGCAGTCTTTGCCTATGTGTTCTTTAATAGGCCAGAAGAGAAAGCCAGGCTTGTATTTTCTATGTATTGTGTTGGAAAGAACTAGACATTTGCAGTCAGATCTATGTTAATATGGCTTTTAAGACACGATGTAATTTCCATTCTTCAGTCAATGTGACTTTGATGCCATTAAGTCCTAAGTGTCATTTTCTAAGAAGAGCTTTTTTATTTTCTGCTTTTTTAGAGACGTTGAAAGCATAGCTTTTATGACAAAGTAAATTGTGTTAATATCCACTTAAGACATACATGTGACAGCACCTGTTTAGTACAGCAAAAGATAAGCTCAGGAAAACCTCACTGATGCTGGCTTTCTTTATTAAAACACATCCTTTTTGAATGGCTTTGTAGGGTGATTTTTTTCGTATTTGGTGGGAATTAATTGCACCATTAAGGCTAAGTACTTTATGCATAAATAGAAATGAATCAAGTTTTTCTTAAGTCTTCCTCATTAAGTTGTCAAAATTAAGCAGCTTTCCCATGGTTAGGTAATTATGAATTAGTCTGAGTATCTTGTAGTACAGAAGAAACCTGGGTCCCCAGGAAACAGGAAGTGGGACAGAATCTGAATCCTAAATGCAACAGCAGGCAGCTTGCGGGTAGGTTCTGGAGCCTGTTTGAGGAGGAGAGCAGTACTTCTGTGCCAGGGAAGTGGTCTGAAGAAGTGGCACTTCCTCTTGGGGGAGTGCAGGGCTGGTGTTTCGTATGAGCCCAGCTCCTTTACTGATGAAGGCTGTTGTGGGTCCTGAGGTTGGTGTGGGTGTCAGGACGCCATGGGAAACTGCACTGCAGGCGCTGTTCATTAAGGACACGCTCATTAGGCTTCTACTAGGTGCTGGGCTCTGTTATCACGTTGGAGTCCACATGACTGAAAAGGACAAAATCCCAGTGGTACAGTCTTCCCATTCCAGAGAAGACACCAATCAGAATGGCATCAACTAAAAGGTATCAAATACATTAGAAGACAGATTCCTTTTTAAAAATGAAGAATTCATTTACCTTTAAAGGGCTACAGAGAGAGAGAAGAATAAACAAAGAGAGCTTCCATCTGTTGGTTCACTCTCCAAATGGCCACAACAGCCAGAGCTGAATTGATCTGAAGCCAGGAGCTAGAAGCTTCTTCTAGGTCTCCCACATGGGTGCAGGGGCCCAAGGACTTGGACCATTCTGCTTTCCCAGGCCTTCAGCAACGAGCTGCATCAGAAGTGTAGTAGCTGGGATTTGAACCAGCACCTATATGGTAGCACAGTTAGCATTGAGAAACAGGACAGAAAGTTTGTTTCTCAAAAGGTGAGGCTTTAGAAGATGAAAGAAATTATTTTTGGAAAGAGGATCCAACAGTGCTGAATAGAGGTGTCCAGGTCTCACCTTTGCACAGAGGACAGGACAGCAAAGGGAGGACTGTGTTTTGGGGAGACGCTCTGCCCCAATCCCACGTTTGTGCTAATGCCCACCATGGGAGGCAGCAAATGATGGCTCAGGACTCAGGCACCGGTTACCCATGCAGAGAACCTGGATCAAGTTTCCAGCTTGTAGCTTCTGTCTGGCCCAGTTTCAGCTGTTCTGGACATTTGGAGAGAGAATGGGCAGAATCTGTTGTGGTTCCACTACCTTTCACATAAATAAAAATTGAAAAATAACAAGTGAAAATGACATGAGCCCTGGATAGCATGGAGACTTGGAAAGCCAGCATAGAGAGAGGCGCAAAGCTCATGGCACCTCCTAGCCAGACTCTCTGACTCGGAATAGGTAGTTGATGCCCACATGACTGGCGAAAGGCAGGCAGGAAAGCTCAAAAGCTTCAATACATAATCGCTAATATGTCCAGCTCCCACACCAGCACTTACCCCATGAAACCTGGAGAAGGCGCGATCTGCAGTCCACTGCTCCAGCTCTGTGTCTACCAGTGCACCATCTGCCGCATAGCCTGCATTCACCTGTGGAACCTTGGTAAGGACCTTCACATTCCCCAGTACTGGGTCTGTGGCTGTTGGTGCTATGCACCCCAGCCTCGCCCAGCTACCCTACAGGATGCAGCAAAAGTTTCAACCACATCCCATAGTTCCAGGGCCATGAGTATTGATGCTATAAGCCCCAACATCACCCATGCTCACCTGCTGGGACCTGACATGTCCCTTCTTTGTCCACAGCATCAGAAATGTGGCTACTGCCATAAAAAAAAACCCAACTGTGATTGGCACTCGACTCTGGGGGCTGAGTGCATACTTTTGGAAGCCCATGTGCACTTTACAAAATCATGCCACTAAGTCCACTAACAGCTGCATTCTAGACAACTGTGGCACTGGCTAGACACTGCTATGCTGACTACAGCTGAAGAAATTGCATAGAATCCACACTGCTGGGCTCATACAGAAGCAAAGACAAGCAACTGCCCAGCACACACCAGTGCAAACACAGTTCTTATTAATACTGATATGCTGTTGTTCAATGTGTACATTCTGGGGAAGGTATTTGATATAGCAGGGGTTGAGATGCCTCCTAGGTTTTCCATGTTCCATATTGGAGTGTCTGGTCAAAGGCCAGCCTCTCTGCTTCTGATCCAACTTCCAGCTGGTATGCACCCTTGGAGGAAGCAAGTGGTTGAGTTCCTATCGCTTCTCAGCCTTTTGGCTAAGATCAAGTGTAGTTGAGTTCCTGCCATCCACTGGGAGGTCTGAGCTGAGTTCCCAGTTTCTGCTTTGGCCCTGGCCTGGCCGAGTCATTGCAGGAATTTACACAATCAATAGAGTTCTCTCTCTCTTTTTTTTCTGTCTCTACTTCTCAAGCACAAATATAAAGAAACAAGATCTATTCTTCCCAACTGCATGGGTGTTACTAGTTTAAGAGGCGATTTCAATATTTTGATGTGATGAACTCAGTGACCAGGTGGTAACAGCACTGTCTGCAGACAGGAAATGATGGGGAAATGAGCTGGCTCCTATGCAGCTCAGTTAACTAGCCTAAGACCCCTAGAGCCAAGTGCAGCCTTCCCAGCCCCTCCCCTGGAGTAGAGAAGCAGTGAGTGGGAACCCTCTTCCTTGCAAATACAGATTTCATCCTCTACCAGCCTTCTGCTCTTCTTTCTTCTGTGATTAGTTCTTCACCAGGCAACCTGACCATTCCCCCTCCTGCCTGCTTACCAGACCTGTTTTGTTAATTGCTCTTAATGCACTCCCAGCTTAATCCGTTCCATCTTTAACCCAGATTCACCCAAAAGTAGCTGACACAACAGGTCTCTACTTGAGGTACTGATATACCTCTGCCACCTTCTTCCCTGAAGGCATGTGCTACAGATCAGGGTGCTGTGTCCATGCAGTCCACAGCAGGCTGCTCCTCTGGGTGCCATTGCTACTCCCCCAGGCCACTGTGAGGTCCATCTGCTGAACCGTAAAGTCCTTTGATTCCAAAAGTTCATTCCTAGACCTTACCTTTCTTCCTACCCTCCTGACTCAAAGTTGAGGTTATCTGAGATCTAGTCCAGGCAACCCACTTCACCTGGCAATTTTAGTCTTCTAAAAATCTAAAAAGCATTTCCCCTTCTGATAATAAGGATCCATTCTCCCTGAAGTCTAGAGGTCCATAACTTCATTGCTGAGCTGCTCTCTGCCCATGGCAGCACAGACAAGACAGACCAGCCAGGCAGGCTGAGAGTGGAATGTGGGTCAGTCTTGATTAACCTCTGGAGTGATGCATAGAATGGCTTCTTCACAAAGAAAGCTGGGGAGATCCTGGGCTCTGGCTTTTCTTCTCTGGCTGCAGCTCCCCATGGGACACAGCTGGGCACTATTAGGAAAGCATGTTCACATGCATCAGGACAGGAAGGGGAAGGGTCTATTTTCCCCAGGTTTCCTGTGCCTCTGCACAAAGCTTTGACAGGTGCACAGCCTCTTTCAGACATTCTCCCTTCCTTGTGGCTGCATCTTCAGCTGGGGCCAGCCCTCCTCCCTGACCCTTCCCAGTGCTGGTCCCTGTCCTTGACACTTCTCCAAGTCAACCAGCACCTCTCTGTCATAGGGAATCTGCCACCTTAAATGATTGCTGTACATGCCTCGTTCTCTTTAAACACTAAGAGTAAGGACAGAGCTTACATTTTATTAATTTTTACAATTTCTAGCGCCTTCTCTGGTCACCCATTGAAAAGATTTTTGGGAAAAATAACATTCTTTCAAACAAGGAAGTGGTTTCAGGCCAGTGTGCTGTGGTGGCTTGCAGCATGTACAGGGTGTAAAGCCACTTCTGCTTTTCACCACCTGGATGACTTCAGGCAAGATTTTGGTGCACACTAATACAAACAGGGCTTGGAACATCCATCGCACAGCATTCCTGGGAAGAAGTCAACGAAAGCAGACACATGATGAATGACCCCAACCCCAAATACTATTCCCAACACAGCTCACAACCAAAAACTCCTCTAGTTTACCCAATGTGTTTAATTGTCAGAACAGACATAAGGGTCACCTGGGGACACATGTGCTGTTCTGGTTCCAGAGAGGCCTGGTAGCGTAGCTCCCAGCTCTCACTTGCTCTGGCGGCAGGATTTCTGGATTTCTTCTGCCAGTCCCAGGCAATGTAGGATGCGTTTCTTTTCAGCAGCCAGTTCCATCTCAGAGATCTGGCCCAGGAGTTTCTGGACAAATATGTTCTGATCGTTCAGGAAAATGTTCTTATTGACTCCTACATGTGGCACATTCTCCAGGGATCCCGATTTGAAGTGGAAACTTATATGTCTGTTTCGTTTTAAACCAGGTCCTTTCTCTTCAATCCAGGACAGCGGGCTGCAAAGTTAGAAGCATCACAGTGTGAGAGATTACGTAGGGCTACGGATGGGTGCTTGCAGGCATCTGACCTGGTCACAGGTCTTCTCCCAGCTGTAGGTCAGTGCAGTAGTTGAGGTGTTAACTTCATCTCCACTAGCTTCACAAAGGCCAGGGGTAATGGGATTTCCAGTGTTACTGCCAACCAATCCTTTGTTTAGCTTTGCTGTCAAGCATGGGGTTTCACTCAGTGAGTTTGTGTAAACACTAGCCTGTTAATCAGAAGATGTTACTTGGACTCTTAGGGATTCCTCTAGGAGATCCAGATGTGAACAACACACAATTCAAGCACTGAGCGAGACTCCACGCAATCTGTCGTTTATATGTAACATACAGGTTATGATGGAAAGAATTCTTAGAGTTTTCTCATTACATTCTCAAAGAACTACATGAACCTAAACACATGCCAGGAAATACCCTCTCCTGGTTAGCAAAGGACTTACACTTCCATTCCTAACTTTCCCTTTAGGCTCATGTCAATACCACAAAAATCTAGAATTCAAATAGACACCACAATCTCTCCTTTATCTGGGATAATAATTTCTGTGTTGGTAGCATATAAGAGCTGTCTTATATGTTTATAGAAAACAGAGAAACCTCCTCTTCTATAGATTTTAAAACAAAGTAAATAGCTTCATTGAGTATTCTGGAAATTAAAAAAACATATAAAATCTGCCCTTTAGGGCCCAGCGCCATAGCCTAGTGACTAAAGTTCTCATCTTGCATACCCAAGGATCCTATAAGGGTGACAGGTTCTAATCCCGGCAACCCTACCTCCCATCCAGCTCCCTGCTTGTGGTCTGGGAAAGTAGTCAAGTATAGTCTAAAACCTTGGGACCCTGCACCCATGTGGAAGACCTGGAGGAGGGTCCAGGCTCCTGGCTTTGGATTGGCTTTGCTCAGCTCCGGCCAATACGGCCACTTCGGGAGTGAATCCTCAGATGGAAGATCTCCCTCTCTATTTCTCCTCCTCTCTGTAATCTGACTTTCCAATACAAATAAAATAAATCTTTAAAAACAACTCTGCCCTTTAAAATATTCCTAAGAATTCCATACCATTTAATTAAGGATTTATATGGAAAAAAATCCATAAATTCTCCTACTAAAATGAAAGTATCTTTAGTTTAATGCAGTCATTTCTAGTATTTCTCTATGCGTATATGGTTGGGTTCCTTGTAAGACCACAGGTTGTGCACCACATCCATAGCCCTGTGGCTCTGCTCCAATTCACTAGGTTGTTGAGCGACCAGAATAACAATCAATGTGCCATAAGACAATGGGTGTAATGACAAGTCCTAGAAATATACAAACTTTTCGCTGAAATAGACCTGGGCTGTGATAAGCTTTGGGAAAAAGTGCCTACAAACCCGAGAGAGTCCTCCGCGCCACCAGATACCAGAGCCACCTTCCCAGGAGGATATGGCATTTCCTGCCACGCAGTTACACCCTGCAGCCCACAAACCAAGCAGGGACCAACCAGCTGTGGAAAGCTGTATGTCAGCAAGATATCTGGGCTGAAGCCAATGAAATGACTCACTTAAGTTAGCTTAATACTCACCTCAAATAAAACACGTTCAGATCAAGCGTAGAATCCTAGACACAGCTGTTAGACTGGTAAATCGGCTAATCAACCCATCAACTAAAACTTTCTGCTTACGATTCAAATCTTTTAAAAGAATGAATTATTGTTACCAACAAAAAACTGGTCTAACTTCATCCCCCCAAAATTAGTTCCAATGTCTAGTTTTAGAAGCTTACAGCACAGCCCTGCCGTGTTGTGGAAGATGATGACAAAAGTGAGTTTTATTCGCCGCTTTATAATGATACCAGATCGAATAAATTTGAGGTATTCCAAGCAGTTAAATCAACCTAAACTAATGGGCTGATGCTTGTCTTTATCTCACAGAGTTGTTGAGATAAAGTGAGTCAACGTAACTGGAATCCCGGACCTTTGTCTATAGAAGCACATGGCTCCTGTGGAGTGGGCAGCAAGGGTCTAACCCCTCCACCAGAACCTTCCTAGTGCACATGGGACAGACTTCTATGTGTCTCTTGCCACTTACCGCTGACTCTTGGTCTCCAGGCGCACAGTCATCTTCATGTACTTGTCTTCCTTCTGCTCTTCCAAAGTAGCAGACACAAGGGAAAGCTCCCCAAAGAGGGACACCAGCCAGGTGAGGCGAGAGATGCCACTGAATGAGGGGAAGCCAAACTGCTCTTCTTCCAAGGGGCCAGCTGTGGGGAATGACAGGTGCCATGGGTCCTGGGCAAGCAGCACTGCTAGACGCCAGTAGGAACTAGGGGTGATGCAGGAACAAAACAACAGGCCCATGACTGGGGCAGTGAGGCCTTCCCTTATGGGGTGCAGGTCCGAGATGGTAAATGACACTGATGGAAACTCAGCTGGCCAAATTCAAAGTCTTTTTCCTTTTGTGTTGAATTCAGTTTTGCCAAGCAAGAGGTAAATACAGTCCATCCAAGCAAAGGGAATAACAAAACAGTTCCCAGGCTCCTAACATATTCAGCACATGCAAATACACAGACACAGACATACAGACATTGAACATGTGCAGAAATCATCTCTGGCTAGTTAACACTTCCGGACAGAAAATTCTGCCTACAGTGTCGGGGCAAAAACATGAGTATGATTGACACTTCTCACACATTTTGTACCCAAGGCCCACTACATAGATAAAACACTGAAATAAAGAAAAAAGGCAATTTTTATAGTTCAAAGAAGCATGGGAAAAATAAACTGGCTCTGAGTCAGAAACTCATTGGCAAAATGAATGCAAGCTCACATCCTAGCAGGCTAGGAAAGAACCCATCTGGCCTTCTCACCTCCCCCGGGACCTGTGATCTGGCCTAAGACTGACCTGTGAAGAGAAGCGAGCCTTCCAGCAGGTCTTTCCCCGTCACTTCTTTCTTCAGGAATGCAAATTCCTCCATCAGGAGTTCAATATGCTCCTCATGCAAGACTTTTCCTGCCATAATTAAAGCAAGAATTAAGAAGAGGGTCATCATCGCCAGAGTACAGTTGGGCTGTATAACCTAGAGTGAGTCTACAGCTGTTTTCCTGCATGCTTTGCAATCTCCTTTGTGAGATCTGGATATCTGAAAAAAACAGCCTTCTCTCTTCAGTCTTGACCTGGATTTGCATGTTGCACACTTGCCAATCGGAATGATTAGAAACTTGGGTGCCTGTCGAGCTTCTTCTAGAGCTAGGTTTGGTCTGAGCTTACAAGTATAATTTCCTGCTACAAAAGCTTTTTGCTCCAGCTCCTACACTCAGAGTCTGTATCTCTTGCTCAGATCTTAAGCAACACTGCACTTTGTGATGCTGTACTCATCTGTTTTCAGACACCCCCATTCTGGCACCCAAGTAGACTCCAGTTCCTTCCAGCAATCTAACTTGCATGACAAACAGGTCAGACCTTCGGATAGATCCCTGAAAGCCGAGAATTCAAGATGTGTGTTCCACTTTTGCATTTTCCTCCTGACGAAGAAGCTGAAAATCCAAAGTTTTCTGTCAGTCACTTTACGTTGTGCTTGCCAGGGGAATGGGCTATACCAGACTTTACTGCTACAGCCTTGTATTTCTACCCACACCCATGCGCCTCTTCTTGGCTTCGGGCTTCCTGGGGTGCTGTAAGCTCCCAAGTGCTTTCTGAGTATTCACAAGGGCGATCTGGACTGCATACCAAGTCAGGATCCCTACGAGGAAGGGCGGTCCGGGGAAGGCTTGTTCTGCCCTCTTGATGGCCTTGCTCTCAAATCACCTGTAACTTTGCCATCCAAAACAACGCAACATTTAGGGATGCCATGCTGAAAATATTATTATTTCCTTGACTGACGGTAAATGCTAGAGTAACCTTTAATTACTTCATATATATATGTATCACATATATATGTGTGTATGTATGTATGTGTATATATGTATGTATGTGTGTGTATACAGATAAGGCTATTGAGAAAGGTCCACTTTTACTGTTCTACCACACACAGAGTAGCACAGGATTGTCACCAGAAAACAAAAGATTTAGCCACTTGTTCTGGGCTTTCCAAATTGCAAAACTGTGAGCTAAGTAAGTTTCTCTTCCTTCTAAATTACTCAGTGTTGGGAGTGTTGTTACAACAGAAAATGGACTTAACAACTATGGCCAAGGGCTTCTAGAACTAAGTGTAAGTGCTTAATTAATGGGTGCTTAGCAGAGCTTCCAAGTTCCTGCTGTACACGATATCTTTAAAAAAATAATTGTTCTTTTAGACAAGCAATAGGAAGTTACAGAATAGGCATATAAGACAGTTCCCCTAATTTCTCCATCAGCAATATAAAGGCCACACACATAAGATCAAAATAAAGGCATGGCATTGTGCAAATGGGAACTACTTCCTGATTTTCATTAAAGACATGCATAAGCCTCAGCTGAAAGTGATGAAATTCCCATCCCCCCTTCTGCTCTCCCCAGACCTCCCCAGGTGTGCCCACCGTGAAACTCTAGGAAGAGGCCTGGGTCTGCACAGGCGTACGTTACCTTTCTGCTCAGCCAGCCCCCACAGCTCCTGAGCGGCTGCCAGAGACAGCGCCATGGGGTATTCCACAAGAACATGCTTGCCAGCATTCAGGAACTTCCTTCAGGAAAGAGATGAAAACAGGGAAAAGCACTTCAGAGACACAGCCCGGAGATGCTCAGCACAGCAAAGGGCAGGCCATTACAGATGCACTCAAACAGTTCCCTTGTGCAAATCTGTCATGGATGGGTGGAGGTACAAACAGAGGATACGCAGGACCTCCCCAAACCAAACACAATCACGGACATAAGCCCCTACTGTCTGGGGACAGAATGACTTTCTACCTAGGTATTAATTTGAACATCTCTCTCTCTCTTTTTAAATGAAGTACTATTTAACAGTTACTCTGGAAAATAAATATATACACACTAGCAAGTAAATTTCCTGTCACCATATGACAACTAGGAAGATGATAAAACCTGTGCTGCCTTGCTCTGCTGGATCCCATTGAAATGATGCCCTGCGTGGCTCCTGACCTGGATCCTGCAGGAGTAGTGGCTTTCCAGGTGACATGTGCTAAGAGTGGTTCATATGGGGTCACACATATGGGGACTTGCACATTTTGTGGGGCTTTTTTTTTAAAGCTGAGTTCTAATTTTTTGTTTTTATGTTTCTGGTATATCCTTTCTCTTTTTTGCTACATGAGTTTATTATTTTTTAAAGATTTATCTTATTTTTATTGGAAAGTCAGATATACAGAGAGGAGAAGAGACAGAGAGAAAGATCTTCTGTCCTATGATTCACTCCCCAAGTGAGTGCAATGGCTGGTGCTATGCCGATCTGAAGCCAGGATCCAGGAACTTCTTCTAGGTCTCCCACATGGGTGCAGGGTCCCAAGGCTTTGGGGTGTCCTCAACTGCTTTCCCAGGCCACAAGCAGGGAGCTGGATGGGAAGTGGAGCTGCCAGGATTAGAACCGGTGCCCATGTGGGATCCTGGCGTGTTCAAGG